TTACTAAAACGTCTTTTCAGAAAATACTTCTAAGATATTTCTATGTGTAAGTAATGTACTTTCTGGTGTATGTAAAATATTTCTTTTATTGTATTGCACATTTTTATGGAATCCACCGTTTATTACCCTAGTTCTCCGGGTACTGGGATCAGGAGCAATGGTTCGAGTATTAGTATGGTAGTTCGTATTAGTATGCGATTATTAATACAATATTATGTGCGTAATCTTGGCTGACCGGGTGACGCCGCGTCGAAGGCTGTGTTGCCGACGTCTTGATCATCTTGTGGTCTTCCTCAGGACTGGTATGCCAGGCATACTTTTCAATGTGAGGAAGACAACGACAAGATGGTCGAAACGTCGGCAACACAGCCTTCGACGCGGCGTCACTCGGACAGCCAAGATCACGCATATGACTGGCCGCGGAAGCCTACGACTTCAATACAGTATTATGTTTTGACTGATATACTTGTGCGAAGACAAATGAACAGCTACGGTTGTGGTATTCTTGTTTAAAAATTGCTGGCAGTGTATCTGAATAATGTCTCGCAATTTATTCCTAGAAAGCCATTTCCCAGATAGATTCTTTACCTCGATCTATAAAACAGATCCTAAGGCGCATCGCAGAACTTTTTGTTGCCGTAAAGACACCACTTCACATTTCCTTTCTGCAAGAGTCAAGTTTCATTATGACCTTCCACTAAGACCCCCTGACCCAAATACTCGTAGTTCAGACTTTGACCTTAGCCCTGGAAGACAATTCACAACCGGACTCTTTTCTGCTCACTCCAAAAGGTTCGTCCCTGCGTGGTTCTTCCCGGCACAGTGTTTGTCCCTGGAAAACGTCCCCGCAAGAAACTTCTCGCACTGCAAATGGTGCTTCTAGAGATACCTCAGTGCATTGCAGTCCACAGCAATGTTCGCCTTGTAACATACCAGAGCTTTCGCAGCGAGATCCCATTAAGAGGATCGCGTTAAGAAGGATAATTAGAAGAGAGATTCGCTGCAGCAACGAATTGCGGAGTAGTGTCTTGGATAGTGAAGTATTCCACAGTAAAATAAGAGGAAGCAAATTATTTCAAAGCAAAGTTCGACGAAGTCAAGTGCTTAGAAGTAAGATTGAACGCAGTAAATTACTTCGCTGCAGGGTTGCACGGAGCCAGATTTTGCGTTGCAAGTTGATGCGCGCAAAAGTGCTCTGCAGCAAGCTTCGAAAAGTCGAGGTAAAACGCAGCAAGATATTTCACAGTAGTATAGACGTTTTAAAATAGGACACTTCTGGCTGTGAAGTTGAGGTTTTTGAAGCGGAACAGTATTAATTTAGAATATTCTGTTCTTGTATAGAAAAGTTACTGCGCAATTGGATGCAGTGTGATTTAGTTAAAATAGATGTTACTCTAAAGGGTAAAAAAGGAAAATACAAAATTACAGCAATACAATGTGCATTACGAAGCTGAAAAACTTTCTATCATTACTTGGTTTAGTTTTCGCTAAAGGTTAATTACACTAAAAGAAATAAAATTGCTTGTGTAAAGAGAGAAATTACAATTTTTTGTTGATTGTGTAGAACACATTTGTTAGGTATACAAAAATGATGTAAACAGATATTTAAATATAATTTGAAATATTCATTAAACTTTTTGTAGATAATTCGAAAGCTCATAATTTTCTATTTAATTAAATTTTTTCTTTTTTCAGTTATTTTTCACTAATATAATTTTGTCCGTTTCGCTCCAGAACAGTAAAAGTTATTATAAACTGATATGAAAAACCCACAATTCAAAAACAGTCCAGTATGTAAATAAATGTGTACAAATGAAAGTTTTCAAATAAAGATATTATTGTAGATATCAGGTGTCATAAAGTTTTAATGTACGGTGTAATCCTGAGGAAACCATAAATTTTATCTAGAATATACTTTCCAACTATGTGTCGGAAGCTGGTCTGGGTGAACACGTAAGACAAGCATCGGTATGGCCACGTAATGCCTTCTTCACTGACCAATGGCAATAAAAACTGTACAAAATATATTTACAATGGCAGTTGCTTTAGAGTATCTTTGTATGACTGTAAAAATGTGTAAATTTAGCTACAAATATACAAATTTACCTTTAGATGTATTAAAATGTAAATCCGAAATGTTTGTGTAGAAGGAAACGCTGTGGTGCTATTGATGTCAACTTTATTTCAACACTTTTACTTTTAGGTCAGACCTCTGCCATTCTGCGGTTACTATTGATAAGTTTGTCAAGATCTAGAGTGTACTCGAGTTGTAATGTAAGGTTGTTAAATAATTTGATTATTGCTAGTTCTGGATTCTCTGCATTGGAAAGTAAATTTTGAATAGCAAATGTTAATTGTCAATATAATATTGAGTATTTCTGTAAATATTTTTTTTTTGCAAAACAGATTAATAGCAGCAGCTTGACTTCTCTGAACTAGACTTCATCTTGTATCTATGAACTGTTTTACATAATGTTTTCCCCCTCGTCTATCCTCTTATTGGTGCTAGAAGTGCCTTAAGGAACTTTATTCTATGCCTCTCTATTTACAATATTGGTGGATCAATCTCATATTTTTGCCAAAAATAAAACTTAGGAATGTTAGCCTGTGTTAATTTGTAAAACATTATTTGAATCACTGTTTGAATAAATTCAGTAAGGTGTACAAATCGCCGTTAATGTCAAGATTAACGCGAGAGAGATGTGAACAAAATTATATTGTCATTTTTTAAGAAACAAAAGTATTTTTTAAGAAATTCTTGTTTTAAATATGTTTAAATATTTTTATTGCACATATTTCACTCTATATTCCGCGAAAACTGCTAAAACTTTCAAAAAAATATACATGACTTAAATGAAATAACTCATTATGAAGAACAAATTTAAATGGACGTAAAAATATATCTTGAATTTTGTAATTGAAGGAAGACACCGAAAACTTTCAATATTATATAATTTTCGAAACGTCAGAAATATCAACGAAAATTGGACCTATGTCAAATTTGTAAGTATATTTCACTGTATTATTATAAAAACTGTGTAGAAACTAGTGGTGATTTAGGACACCAATTTTTCCCGTATTAAGTTTTCTATTTCCTTTGATTTCGGCTAGCTATTTGGACTTGTCACAATACTCTTCCTAACCACCCAAGGTACATTATTTAAAAAGAATTCTCAATATCTGTTTTATTATAATAAGAATAAAACCGAACTATTACTTAAAATATCGTTCTACATGCCAATTTTCATTGAGAAATTTGGAGCTATTTTTCAGAAAATGACGTAAAAAGAATTACTAGAAATGCAAAATTTACAGATCACAGAACATTTTTTTTTTGAGAAAGCTTAATTGAGAGTCATTTGAAGCACTGCCGCTCATTATTTCAATAGTGTTTACGAATCTCTGGAAATGTGCATATTAACGGCGTAAGACAGTTAAAAAACATTACATTACAGTTGTTTTTGAGAAAATCGTTTTTGTTATTTTTAATATTGCCCATATTGTGCGAAAGCGAATAAAATTTAAAGAAATGACGTTAATGAACTAAATTTGGAGAACAAATTGTACTTTAAGGATACGTCTCAATCTTCAATTTCGCGGCGGCGATGGTGTAACGGTTAGGTATCGGACTGTTCTATACCCAAGTTATACCAAAGTTCGCCGGTTCATACCCGATCGAAGCCGTGGATTTTTAGGGCGCGAAAATCCTTCCTACGCTTTCCTTCGGAGGGGAAGTAAAGTCGGCTGTCCCATGTTAGTATGTTACTGTATGTAAAAGATCCTCAAGCCTAAATGACGCCTTTGAGCTAAATTCAAATCGCCTGTTTCTCGCCCAAGAAATAACTCCTTTCTCTGGTAGTTGGTGAAACGAGCGTAGCGAAATTTGCTTGGTCAGACGGAAGAGCAGGCCTCATAGCCTGAGGCTCGCCACGTAAAATAAGGCATTAATTCAATTCAATTTTGTAGATATCGGAAGACACCTTAACGGTTAACTCAAAATTTTCATTTTTTTAAAAATTCGAGTTAACAGTTAAAATGGGACTTATGCCACATATATGAGTATTTTACCCTATTTCAAGAAATTTAAAGAAAAAAATTAGAGCAGTTTTCTAAAAAAGAAATATGTCCCAGGGACTTCTTTGAAATTTGGAGATATTTTACATGAAGGTTTTTCAAAAGATCAAAGTTTCAACTTCAGCCAGATACTCATGGAATTCTTTAATTTGGAAAAAATCCGACACGCGGTTTAGGCGCTCGCAGTGTTTGGGCGGGCGGAATGACGGACGGGTGAAATGACGTCAATCGCATTTTCGGTATCAAAGATTCACAAAAACGTGGATTCTGACTACACAATGAATAAGAAGTAATTTACTATATATGGAAACTATTTATCCACTTTTCCAGAGTCTTACAGCAAGAGATTTTTTGTAGAAAATTCGCAGTTTATTCCCACAGCATTACAGTACTTTCTCTGTACTACGTGAGCAGCATCGAGAAAGTAAAAATTAAGTATACATGTGGAACATTTTTGAGAATTTTGAAATTGTCTCTAACGCCTGGAATGCCTTCAAAAATGAAAATATGCACTTCAAATTCAAGGGGTCGTACCGTCAGCCAGGGTCTGAAAATCATTAGTCACTGTAGTTGGCAGATGGACGGTTTGCCGTAAAGAAATTTCTTGGTATGAAGACTCCATAAACCATGACTTATGACTACACAACGTGTTTGGGAAGTTATTTACTGCATTTAGGAAATGGAAAAATCTACTTTTTGATGCAAGAGTCCTACAAAAAATAAAAATAAGCATACGAATAACAATTTGAAGCAATGAAATGTCTTAATATAAGAAATCTAACAACTGCATTATTTAAAAAAATAGTAGAAAACCCAAACAATGTTCTGAATAGAGGTAAAGAATCAGATCATAGCGTTAGTAGATCCATATTTTTCAAATTATGATTACTAAGATATATATTAATTTATATTTTATTTTCTTCCAGGAGGTGAAGGACATCTATCACAAGGCAAATATGAAGATACGGCGTCGGGTAATGAATCAGTTGCAGCATCTAGTGCCTCGACTGGCACCATATCGAACAATCAGTCTAAACAAAGTTCTTTTACCTTTAAATACAGAGAGGAAGCCGATTTTCAGTTCCACAAATCTTTGGGTGAAACGACACAAGACTACAAATGTTTTACAAAGACAAGAAGAGGAAAAAGAAACAGATCTAAAGGAAATAAAAAGTCTGTCTACTCGAGAACTCGTACCCTTCCCGCAACTGAAGATACCCAACCCAATGACCCTGTATCGAAGGGTTTTGCCAGCGATAGTGATGGGAAAAATTGTTCTATACGGCAGAACAAACCAGTCACGTATACACGGCGGAATGATGACAGCGGCAAAGAAGATGAATTTGAATGCGAGAGAACTGAATCTAAAATTGAAGAGGAAAAATGGAAACCAGAAGTGTCAGGGAAAAACGAGTCAAATATACAGATAGATAGCGTGTCAAGAGCAACACGGTTTACATTTTCTGCCGTTCCACCGAGATTTATGGAAAATTCAGCGAATCTTTCACTTGGTAAAACACCTGTGCCGCAACCATATAGTGCAGGAATAATTCAAGGTACAATTGATTCACAACATTTAAATCGTTCGTTTCAAAACGTTGATCCGTTTTATGACACGAGTCGGGAAATTGACTCCCATCAGGTCCTGCCTAATCATATTATACATGAAAACTTGTCCGTCCAAACTTCATCTCAAAGAAATTCGTTTCGTCAGCAGGAAGTGTCTCGGCATAATGTATTTCAAGGTTTCTCCGGAAATCAAACGGCGAGAAGTCGGAATCACTTGCAAGAAGTGCCTCAACAGAATCGACTTCGAGTTTTGTCCAAGGAACTTCAATCTGTTAGAAGTCAACTGCAAGAAGTGCCTCAACAGAATGGACAAGATTTGCCTAAAGAAGCTCTATCTCCGAGAAACTGGAATCGGTTACAAGAAGTGCCTCAACAGAATCAATATCAAGGTTTGTTCGAACAAACTTCATCACAGATAAATCTTACCCAACGACAAGCAATGCCTGAGGACAAGATTAATCAAGACTTGCCTGAAGATAGTTATCAAATCGTTCACGGAGGCTTTCAAGGAAATGTTTCTAATCAGAAAGAAATGTGTTGGTACAATCTTAGAGGTCCGTCCGAACAATCATTTTCTCAGATTTGTCTGCCTCAACAGCGACATATACCTCAATACAATGGGCACTTGTCCGTGCAAACTCCATCACAAAGGAATGCTTTTCAGCAGCAAGAAATACTAGAGTACAGTGTTGACCGATATTTGCCGGGGCAAATAAACCAGAGTGGGAGAGTACCTGATAGGCAAATGTTTACAAACATATTTGACTCAAGAGAAATTCATACGCAGGACCGTCATCAATCTTTAATCAATACCAACCCTCGTCCAACCTTTAATCAATATCAACCCTCGTCTAATCGAAATGCGACTTTTGAAGATCAAGAGTCGACTAATTCTCGACCGTTCAAAGAACATAGGGACTCAACGCTTTCAAGTGATTTCATGAAATATCAAGAATTATCTCGACAATCTTCATTTATCCCGACTCGAATTCCGCAGAATGGCTGTGTAGATGAAAACTCTACAGGCTTGACGTTTTGCGGACGTAATTTCCCGGGATTGGGAGAGAATTCTACACCAGCGTATACACCAGGCATCCCTGTTCGACCAGAGTTTTCACGAGAATTATCAACGCAAAATGTTTATCTTCACCCGATGCCTCAACTGGGTGTATCCGATGAAGTATTTTCACGCCAGACTACATTTGGAAGAGGAATTTTTGGCAGAAGAGCGACTCTATTGCCACAACAAAACGCCATGCCTCCTATTGCTTCTTTGCAGCCCGTAAACAATTTAATAATACGTGGGAGAGAGCCACTGCATTCGACTCTAACGCCTCAATCCTTCAATATTCCTCAAGCAAATGGAACGGAAGATCAGGCACACCTCTTGACGCAAACGTCTGGCTCTAGTCTGATCGACTCCGTAGCATTGGCTTGTCGTATTGTAGCAGAGTCCGAGACCCAACAAAATTTTAATCATCCGAACTCTAATTCCTGACATTAGCAGAATGCTAAATAAGAGTAATACATAATTTATAGCGTCGTTTTTATAAGCGGTGAAACGAAGCAATTTCTATAACTTAATCTTGATTTTAACTCAAAATTGGGTTTTACTATAATCTTTAAACATTTGTAGAAGAAATAAATGCATTTTAAACCGGCTATTTCGAATGAAAAAAAATTTTGTTCTATAGTTTGAATTGAATTTTACCAAATAATTTTCCAAATCCAAATAATTTTTTCTGTAAGAATATTATCAGTCCGAATGTATACTAAAGATGCAAATATAACGTGTATAACATTTTTTTAAAAATAAAAATATATATTTTTAATGTGAACTGTTCTCCATGTCCTGCAATCTCACCCAAGTCTCTTCTTTCTTTTCTTACCGATTTACGTATTTGGAGCCGTTCAATAAGGGGAAAATATTTTGTTGTGCGTGAATGAAATACAAAGAGAAGACATTTTATTGAATTTATTTCCCCTCTTTATTACAGACATTTGAATAGTGCGGTAGGAAATAAAAGTATAGCGAGAGGTCAGGGCAAGGGTAACGATCGAAAGTGGATACAAATTTCACAAACATATATACTTGCTTTGCTACATTAACTTTCCCAAATTATTCCCCTCCCATTTGCGTGAATTAATTACGAAAAATCACCTCTTCAGTTCTTCGATACTCATCTATAAGTTATTTGCCAGCATATTCGGTCAACTCAGAATTCTTACTTGCGTTAATCAAATGCTTTTTTTCATCTTTTTCTTTAACTGTCCAAAATATCGCATGTATTTGAATATTTGCAGACCCTGGAGTTTTGAGAAAGAAATATTTTATTGAAAAAATACTCTACTCTGGCAAGAGTTAGATAAACATGAGACGAGATATACACTTTGGCAGAATTTTTGTCCGTAAAAATATTTTTAAATGAGTTACTTCTTGTCTCTTCTATACGACAGTTAAATGAAAACAATATACTGTGACGTAAAATGGCACGTTTTAATTTTTTGATGAGCGTTTAAATGTTTTTTTATAAAGTTGCTTAAACGTTTTTTTTTGATTATGTAGAGCAAATTCGCGCGAATTTGGACGAGCATCTAGCCGAGAAACCTCTCAAAAATATTACTTTTATTTTAGAGATATCGTGTAAATAATCATGTTATTTGGTTTACGGGAGCTTTTTACCATCTTATCCGATAGTACTCTTTACATTTGTTGTATGTAGTACTAATTGATAGTGTCAATGCCGTGGTTAAAACGCATTTCTTAACAAATAGCAAATTTCCTCTTCCATAGGCCTTTTGTTTACGGCCCATTTCTATAATTTCTGCGCTGCTCTTGCGTTGCTTTCTGTCAAAGACGGAGAAGAAGGCAACTTTCCCACGAAGGGCAAGAGTGTTTAATGCTAAAGACAAACATTGTATACAATGAACTTTTTTATAGATATGAAGAGCTCAACCAAGTTCCATCAAAATAACAATAGGCGTGATATATCCAACTGCACTGCGCGCTCTGTCATCACTTCTGCCGTCATTATTAGCAGGAGGCAGCGTGTGGTGTGTGCCGTGGCGGCCGGGCGGGGCTGCTGCGTGTCTCCGAGGAGCCGTGAGGGGCCGTCGATACAATCTTAATCTAACAGCGCCGCGCAGAGCCGCGCCGGGTTAATTAATCCTGAAGAGCGCCCCTCGTGGCCCGGCCCTGCCTCCTCGGAGCCATCCATCTCGCGCCAACCGCTCCCCCTCCCCCTGCCTCGCCATCAACTGCCCGGCGGCGGTCGCTCCACTCGGGCGTTTCTAACCGAGGGAAGTGTTGTTGGGAGGGGAATCTTTGTAGGGAGCAGCGAGTTAGAATATACTACATAGAGTGACTGAAGCGCCGTCGTCTTTGCAGCAAAGTAAAGCCATGTTTTTTTTGCAGTCAAAGCATCGCTCTTTGGAGAAAGTATTCTGGCTCAATAACTAAGGAGCACGAACTGGGAAATTTTAAAAACAGCTCGCTGCCTGGATCGGCTATTGTCATAAGAATGGAAGCTGTTAAATGTTATTGTTGATAGCATAAAAGAAAATGCATGAAAGAAAATGTGTGTATGTATTGTGACGTACCTGGAAAGCGGTACTCTCACGACAAAATAAATTATACAAAGGACAGGTACATTTTCGTGAATGGGCTTCCAGGGGTTTGGCGCTGCATTGGAAGATGATCATAAGAAATTCTTTTGTGCAATAAATATTTTAATAATAGAAACACTCTTTACAAAGATTATTTACAATACGCAATGCGCAAGGCCTTTGGTAATAAGTGCACAATCAACGCTACCTTAATACTGTTAATAACCACCTGCTGGCTGGAGACGAGCGGGTCCGCCGTGGCAACGGCGGCGGCGTCTTCGGCAACCTTCGGTCCGCCCCGAAGTCTGTCGGAAAATCGCTCTCCCTCGGCGGTCGACTCCGCTGGCCCCCAACGCAATGGTCGATGAGTTCGCCGGAGTCCACCCCCCCCCCAGCCGGTACAACAATGTCTCACTGGCACCAACACGAACGACGCGCGATTGACGCCCGTCGGCAGTTCCAGTCTCAGCAATCCCTCTCAATCTCGCGCGAATGTCTGCACAGTACGGCCCGCTGCTGCATTACACCCGGGCAGAAATATAACACGTGTCCGTCGGCCACACGAATTCCTGTATTAATGTTTTTGATTACGGTTCTGGTGCGCCCTTCCAGTTTCACTAATCATCTGATTATTAGCTTTCATCAAATCTAGTCTTTCACTTAACATCCACATTCAATCCAGACTGTTCTTAACACCACCATAAATTTGTTTGATGCAGCACTGCCCCGTCCGTGTTTCACTCACGGCCTCTCTGCGCACTCTGTCCCAACCGTCGCTCGCCTCGCCGTCTACCCCCCGATTTGACCGTTGGTGGCGGCGGCGGCGGCGGCGTTACTGCTCTGATCAATTCAGTACTTATTTTAATTATAATTATTGATCAACTTTGATTATTACAATACAGAAACGTTCTTCGTTTCAGTATATAATACAGTATACACACACACATTCGCACATAAGAACAAACAAACAGATCACAAATAAGGTGGCAAACTTGAAAAAATATATATTTGTGGTTTTATTACTTCTATTTTTATAGTTATGTCGAACATACTGAAGACATTGTGAATACTATTATTCTTACAACAAATATAATTTAAATACAGTTAAACGACAAGACAGGAATACAGAAATAAGATCTGATACAAACAACAGGTCGATTCAGTTTTACTCACCATCAACAGACACTTTCCTTGTTTTGATTCCAAAATACACGGAGGCTCCTAGTTCTGCGAACTTCCACCAAGGGCGCTGAAAGCATAGCGTCAGCCACTCTATGTAGTATACTCGGTAGAGAGATTTCTATATGATGGGACCGCTTGGACAGCTACTGCTTGGTTACTGCTGGCAACATAATTACAGATTGTCTCCATGTACTGGTGCGTTCGTTTACAGTTAAATCAATTACAAATGGCTTCTTAACGAGCTCTTGCTATGTCATCGCTCTGCATAAGGTTTTTTTTGTTTCGCGATGTGTTAAAGTAGTTCCTTCTTTGAGTAACTCCTCTATGCTATTAAACGCTTAGTTTACGACACGTAACCGAGTTCGATGCCACAAAAAATCGTGTATGAATAGTGTGGCGACATATCCGTCGCCCTGTACAAACTGACAAAATATTAGCCACGTGCATTTCATGCTCATGGACAGCGCTGGCGGGAAGAGACGCCGGGCTGAACAATGGCAAACCTAGGGAGCGGAAGGGAAGGGGTGCCGTGTCGTGGGTGGCCACTTGTGAATCCCGTAGACAGACTAGCTGCGGAAACGCGTCGGCGGAAACAGCGAGATGACGCGGTTCCGTCAGCCGACCCAGAAGGTAATATAAACGGACCCCGGACCTAAACTCCTTCTGATTCTTGGGCGCGTCGGTAGGAATTCGTGTGGGTTGTGCGCGGCGCTATATTTTAATGCACTGAGGCAGGGAACTGAAGCCGGCGTGGTACGTCGAGACGGGAGGTGCGGCATACTCGCTTGTATGCTCACGTAGGCTACTGGTGCATCACACCGAATAAGATATCTAATTATCAGGCCAGCGGTGGTAGTAACCAGGAACATTCCTTCTAGTAACGGGTCAATATTGTTCGTTGTAATTATTGTACATAGTATTCAGGTGTTGGAGCATTTCTTCAAATAAAGACTCAATAAATTACAAACCGTTCACATCTGTGATTTATTGCCCCGGCAAAGACGCCACAATAGTTACGAAACGTTTACAGGCTCTTCTTCTGGATTGTCGCAATGTTCGTGCAAAGTTTGGTAAATATTAATACAACCCAAATAATAATAATAATAAATATATAGTTTTAATAAATAATTAAAAAATGTATTGGTTAATGCACCACGATTATTAATTTTCGCCTGTCGCTAAGAGCAGATTGGTCGCAAGATATTCCTCCGGAGGCCAGTAGCGGTGCGTCAGAACTGATACCTAATAGATTCTCTAGAGGCCAGTAGCAGTGGATAAGATAAACAATTTTAATCTAATAGAAATGTACTGTAAAATTAACTAAAAGAAAATTATAATTTTAATATTATAATATATAATACTTTATTAAATTTTGAACCAATTACATTAAAAATAATAATATTAAACATCGTGTTTTTTATAAAATTTATACTTCTCCTCTTTTTCAATTTAATTGGATATGAAGAAAGCCCGGATTATGCAGGGTATTTTGCTAGTACCCCACATCACTTGACAATTATCAAGCATGAGATGCCAGGGTCGGTTACAAGTGAAAATGTTTAATATGACGTTGGGTAATTTGAGCTCTTGAGATTGAGTTAAAAACTCACTTTTGCTAACTTCCACAATTTTTCTAAAATTGCCAAAAAACAACAACAAACAAACAACAAAAAAGACGTTCTTTTTGGTGCAGACAAAATATGTTGTACAAAATTAGGTCTTTACAGAAGGTCGAGAACATTTTTTTGTGAAAGTTAGTAGTTTGCGTTTGAAATTTATGATTTTTTCTACTAAAAAAGCGCTCCAAATTTTTTCTTTTCGTTTTCACTCGTGTAATAAGTGACAGTAAGATATATGGTGCTAGTCCTATTTTCACGCATTGCTCGTTTTTTCGAAAATTGCAAAAAATGTATTACAACAAAATTGAAGATCCTCTTGCCTCCGAAAAAGTCTGTTTTATAAAATTAGCCTTTTAAATAAATAATAAAGAAAACTGGTGTGCTATAGCATGGCACATACATTTTTGCAGTGTTTAGTTT